TTAATCAGATTAGAGATTTGTGTAAGAGCGTTGATATCCTAGCGTTGCAGGAAACATGGTTGCTTCCTCATGATCTTAATTTTGTGAATGAGATTGACAGGGACTTTGGATGTTTTGCAAAGTCGTCTGTGGATACATCCGTTGGGTTATTGAAAGGCCGACCCTATGGAGGTGTTGCACTGATGTGGCGTAAGTCTGTTTTCTCGAAAGTGTCTATTATAGAGTGCCCTAGTGACAGACTGGCTGCTGTGCAAATTAATGTCGATGGGCATAGTATTGCCGTGATATGTGTTTATCTACCATATGATGAGGGAAGGGAAGAGAATTTGCTAGAATTTACTAACTGTTTGGGAAGTGTACAGGCGATAATAAATGACGCAGAAACGGAGGCTATTTACGTGCTTGGAGACTACAATGCACATCCTGTATCTAGGTTTGGTAACGAGCTACTGTCATTCTGCTTAGAACAGTCACTAGTGTGTGTTGATCGAGAGTTGCTAGAGGATAGTACTTATACTCATATGAACGATGGATGTGGTACAAGGCGCTGGTTGGACCATTGTGTGGTGACAGCTGCTGCTCGTGAAACTGTCTCGGCGGCTCGTGTGGACTACGGCGTGTACTGGTCGGACCATCTCCCGCTAATAATTTTGTGTGAACTCAGTACTGTCGCTAAGAAAATAATAATTGATAATACAGATGATGTGTTGTGTGGTGTTCGCTGGGGGGAAAGGAATGTTGAGCAAATACATTTATACTCTGACTATTGTTATGATAGATTGCAAAATTTTAAATTGTGTAGTCAATGTGTCAACTGTTGTAATAATCACTTTTGCAAAAAGCATTTATTTTTATTGGACAATTATTATAATAATATAGTACAAATTCTACAGGATGGTGCAATAAAGTATGTAAGTCGAGGTGCACGGAAAAAGAACAAACATATATTAGGTTGGAACTACCACGTAAAACGTTTACATCAAACAGCCAAAATTCATTTTGACTGTTGGGTGCTAGGTGGTAGACCGGTGACGGGCGATATTTATAAAAATATGGTTGATACTCGTAAGGCTTTTAAAAACAAGTTGAGGTGGTGCCAGAATAATGAGGATCAAATTAAAATGAATATATTAGCCTTGCACCAAGCGAATAAAAACTTTGGCAAATTTTGGAGAAGCACGAGACGGCTTGATTATGGATCAAGTATACCGGCTAGTATACAGGGTGAATACAATCACAAATCGATTGCTGACTTATTTTCGCGCCATTTCCTTGTGAAACCTCGTTCATGTCGTACTGCGGTGTGCCCGCGTACGGTTAACGAAAATGTAGACAATGAATTTTTTTATTTTAGTTCAGACGATGTTGCTCGAGTAGTTCGGGCAATGAAACGTGGTAAATCTCCAGGATTTGACGGGCTGAGTGTGGAGCAATGTGCGGGTGAAATTATTTTTCATGTATTGTCTGACTTATTTAATATTTGTATTAACTCGGCCTATTTGCCTAAGAATCTAATGAAAACTGTAGTGATACCTATTCAGAAACATAAAACTAGTGACCCTTCGAATATTAACAATTATAGACCCATATCATTAGGTACAATTATTGGTAAGATACTCGAAAGATTAATTCAACCAGAACTGCAGCGTAGTATGAAAATAGATGATGCGCAGTTTGGCTTCAGGCCTGGACTCTCGACAGATTCAGCTATATTTTGTTTTAAATCGGCCGTTCACTATAATGTCGAAAGAAGTACGTCAGTTTATGCGTGTTTTTTAGACTTAAGTCGAGCTTTCGACCTGGTAAATTATGATTTATTGTGGGAGAAACTAAATTTATCGGCTGTACCAAACAGAATTATTAATCTGTTGAGGGTTTGGTACTGTGGACAGACGAATTTTGTAAAATGGGGCAGCACCACCTCTAGTGAGTATAGACTAGAGTGCGGAGTTCGTCAAGGAGGGCTGACCTCACCGGACCTCTTTAATTTATATGTAAATGACCTGATAGGGGAACTAAGAAGCGCCAAAGTAGGCTGTCATATTGGAACTACTTGTTTAAATAGTATAAGCTGCGTTGACGATATGGTTCTTCTTAGTCCCTCTATCAGTGGACTAAGAAAATTGTTAGCAATTTGTGAACGTTATGCATCGAGTCATGGACTGAAATACAATGTAAAAAAAAACAAATGATGGTATTTCGGTCTGGGAGAGGACCGGAGAGGATCCCGCCAGTTTTTATAGACGGCGCTGCAGTGGAAAGAGTGGGTCGGTTCAGATACTTGGGACATATCGTGACAGAGGATTTCCGCGATGACGGAGATGTGGAACGAGAACGAAGGGCCCTGGCCGTCCGTTGCAACATGCTCGCGCGAAGGTTCGCCCGTTGCAGTCCAGATGTGAAGTTGACATTGTTTCGAGCATTTTGTCAATGTTTCTATACATGTCAGCTTTGGACAAATTGCACCAAAAGTGCGCGGAACAGCATTAAAGTGCAGTATAATAATGCATACCGCATTTTGATGAGGCTTCCGAAATACTGTAGTGCGTCGGGCATGTTTGCGGAGTCCAGGGTGAATGATTACTTCGCTATAATAAGAAATCGTGTAGCAAATTTCTGGGCTCATATTCGGAATTCAAAGAATGAAATCCTCAGCACATTGTCCCAGTGTCTGAACAGTCCCATTCAAAAGTATTGGTTGTCCGTGCACCAAGACAGGAACATTAAATAATGTTCTCTTGCTTCTTGCTATATTATTTACTTTTACTTTTTATAAATTATAAATTTTCTACATATTTTAATTTTTATGTTTTTCTTTTTGTATATTTTGATTGTTATATTTTTATATGTTATCCGTGCACGTTGTAATACAATTGTACCTCTATGGGCTAAGTACCTGATAATAAAGAATTATTATTATTATTATTATTTATCAGGTGGACCGTTTGCTCGTTTGACTCCCTAACAATAAAAAAGATTTTGTGCCCGTTCATACCTCAATTAAATATGTACGTAGAAATAGAGAAAAAGAGAGAAATATTCCTAATAAAACTAGATCTACGAGTAGAATATGTATCTGAACTGTAAATATTATGATGTTACATTCTCCTAATTAATAACAGACAAATATCGTTTCTGGCTACAAATTTACAACAAGCCAAGGATTTTAACTTATGAGTTTCATATGTAAATTTATAGCACGACGTGGGGCTAATTTGAGTCATAAATTTAGAGATACGGATATTTAGCATGGCCTCAACAATGTACATATGTAGAATAATACAAGTATTTGGTTTTTACATTGCTATAATTTGCTAAGACCTCGGTTTTCTGGAATGTTAACGCGACGAAGAATACCATGAGTGTCACAGGTTATTCTGTCATGGTCACGGCGGTGTAGTGATAAAACATAATGTTTTATTACAAACAAGCTGACGGCCCACCTCATGGAAAGTGGTAACCGTCTCCTATAGACATGAGCAGCACCATTGACATAACAAAGTGTATTGTTTGAAACCCCCATGCGTTGCCATTACTGAAGACCCAAGTGTTATCCCTCTGTAACCTGTAAATTCACTGCCATATTCCACCCTTCAATTCAAAACACAGCCATGCAAACATAACTGCTTCACGGTAGAAACACGAATGGGACAGAAGTGCCCAAGCAAACGACTTTTGTACAAAGTCTCCCTCTGCTGATAGTGATATTAATTTTCATAGGTGTATTATATTTTTAACGTTGTTATATTTTTAAACGACTTATGAAATAAATTATAAACCGATTGTTTTTTTTTTTTTCAATGGTGTTGATTGTTCATGTATTAATGTTATAAAAATGACGAACGATTTTATTTTCGTAACCTACTACTACTTTTTGTATTAAAATATTTATAAAAATAACTAAAACATAATGAAAATAGATTTTGAAAGATTAAGCTCTCAAGGTTGACTGGAAGAAATCCCTTTAAGGGATAAGTCCGCCTGTGTACATTTTTGTTATAACCTAATATCTATAAGTAATCGTCTGATCCTAGACTTTTATTATTATATATTGAAATATGATCATTACTTGTATTCATTTATCATCATTACAGCCATTATACATAGACCGCCATTAGGAACGATCCTGAGCCACCTGTATCCACTGACTCCCTGCAATTCATTTGAGGTCTTCACTTCATCTTGTGGGGAATGGGGCGAGGTCACCACTCAAGAACCTTTCCCATCGATCATCGGTTCCTCAAGCTATGAGGCCATTGCCACATAGTTTGAAGAATACATCCTGTTTGCTTATCGTTTGGACTATGCCGGTTACTTTGGTTATTTTGCGGATATCCTCGTTTTAGGTTCTATCAGGCAAAGAAACTTCGAGCATAGTTCTCTCCATAGCCCGTTGAGTAATTTGAAGTTTTTGCGTACGGACAATCGTGTTGGATCATGTTTCGGTTTCATAAGTCATCATTGGCAACACGCACTGGTTAAAGAACTTCGTCTTCAAACTTTGGGGTCGACTTGGATTCGCTAGTTAACCTCTCGGTCGAAGTTGGACTTACTTATTCGGACAACTTGTCCAAGGTATACATACTCGGCGAGAACTTCGAACGTAGTATTCTTAATCGTAACCAATGTAGATGTGACTTGGATGTTAGACATGATCTAGTATTCTTCATATTCGTCTTAAGACTTACTTGTTGAGAAGCAACATTGAAGTCATTGAATACAGTATATAGTATTCAAATCCTCCAGGGATTCCATCATGTTTACTATGTCATCGACAAATCGAAGTTGAGTGATGTATTCGCCATTGATGTTTATATCATATCTTTTCCACTCCAAGAGTTTGAAAACATCTTCCAATGCAGCTACGAACAGTTTCAGGGATATGACGTCACCACTGACTTATACCTTTCTGCACTAGAATGGGTTTCGTACTTTGGTCCTGTATCCGTCAGATAGACATCGTAGCCTTACTGTACATACACTTCAAAACTTCAATATATCTACAGTAAATCTGGCACCGCTGGAGGGACTGCAGTACCGCCCATGTCTTGACCGGTTTTCTCAAAGTCCACTAACGCCAAACGTAGTGGCAGATTATAATCTTCTGTATAACCTGTCGTAGTGTATCTACTTATATTACAAGGAAATAATCAAATAGATAGTAATCGCAATATAAAGAAATAACCTTTTTATATGTATATAATTAACTACAATTTGTTAAAAAATAATTTTAAAATTGAACGGACATATTGATGATTTTCCATTTACTTTATGGTCATTTTTTATATTATTATCAATTACTAAAACTACTAGCCATTTTCGATCCCGATATTACTAGTTGTTTTTATGAATGATCATTTCAGAACCATTAATGTGAAAGTTTTAATGGACTTTCAGACAAGAATTAATTTATTTTTATTGAAAAGTAATCACTTTGAATAAATAATATTGATTTGGGCATATATAGAATTGATGACTAGTAGACGTACATCGATTAATTTAAATATTGGTTATTTTAACTGGCTAATAGTTTTTTCGTTGTTTTTCTTGTCGATATAATACTTTTGATCAATCGTGTTTGTAACGTAGTTAATAAAAAAATACTTTTACATATAAAAAATAGATATTTCTATAACACCTTACAGAAGATAGATTAAAAAGTCGATATCCAATTATTTAGGATGCTCGTTTTGTGGCTTCGCTTATGCACAGTTATTTTGTCTGTGCTCGTGTAAATGAGGATCAAATCATATTAGTAGCTGTATCTCTTGGTTTCACCTGCGTAAATTAATATATAAAGTATTATATGTACTAAGTTAGGATATAACCTATCCGTTTACTAATTTTAATTGAAATCCGTTCAGTAGTTTTTGTGTAAAAGGATAACAAACATCAATCTATAGATACAAATTTTTGCATTTATCATATTAATAAAATTTAAGTTGCAATAACATTTATCTTTGTATAAAATTTTATTCAAAACGTAATTCAGTATCGTCATTAAAATGTCGAATATTTTGAATATTGCAAAGTTTTCTACGCACTACAGTCGCTGAATTACCGTTTTTGTAAAATTCGCGTACGCACAACGCACAGTCATGTCCAGAGAAATGCTCTATAGCGACTAAATTTGCAGAAGCTAGGCTACCGAATGACATACCTCCCGAACCCTTTAGAGTAGTTCCGTTCACGAAATAACCAAAACAAATGTCACCTTTCTTTTGAGACACCCTGTACTTTAAAAATTCTGTTTATTACAGGTACACTCACATTATTATTGAGACTATTAAGAGGATCTTGAAGTAACAAGATAATTTCCTAGACGAATTCAAACCGACGACGATTATATAAAAATGATACTATATTTGTATAGGCTTCCTTTAATTTTCACTTATTTATATAAAACAAATACATTTGTCACCCGCATTCCCCTATCCAATTAGTTCACAAAGTTTCCTTCTACGTCAATCTCTCACGGCTCATTGAGGGTCCGTTAATTGAAAAGAGTCCGTTATTTTTTCCAATAATCGACAATTTACTATAACGATAGAAGAAAAAGAAAGTAATTGTCTCATATATATATATATATATATATATATATATATATATATATATATATATATATATATATACAGAAATCTAAATAATTATCTAGAATCTAATTACATATCTAGATGTACATATGTATATACAAACACTAGTTATTGATCTCGGTTTTAAATATATATGAGTTTAGACTTATATCGTTAAGTCTCAACTCGAACGATATCACCGCCTTATGGGTATTTGAGACTTTCAAGGAGGCAGTAGAAAACCTAAAGAAAAATATAAATTATTATTTAAATACAATTGTGACAACAGCTGTCTTAAATACGTGACGGACAAAATTAAAATGAAAAGAAAAAATATATTGGCGAAAACGGGGGTCAAAATAAGATAGAACTATGGTCTATATTATTCCACAGTAATCGATTACCAAGATGAAATTGTACTATGCAAGAATCTGAGGTAACGTATGTATAAATAAAAATTGGATTTCATTATTAATTAGATTATAAAATGTACTTTCCTAATTTTCTCGATCCTCCCATTATTTAGGGTTCCATAGCGAAAAGGTACAAATGAAACCTTATGGTGCGACTTTGTTAGTCCATTCGTCTGTCACAGAGCCATATCTCAGCAACTATGAATGCTGTGTTGTTTTTAAAATTTGGAATAAATTTAAATATTGTTAGCTTATATTGTAGTGGAAATAAATGAAAAACTATATTTATTTTCTATGCTAGGAGTTCCAAAATAGATATTGAAAATTTTAAAATATATTTCAAATTGTGTTCTATTATGACTAGTAAGCCACTAGTTCTGATAGAACATAATTTGAAACGGTTTGATTTGTGTTAAAATATTTTTTATCTAAAGAAAACAAAAACTTATATACAAACTACATTACCCTAAGCTTAATTTATGTACGTTATCCTCAATGCGTGAGTTTAACTCACATTTGACCGGTTGTTTTCTCTCTGTATCGGCATTTTCCATTCTATTTGAATTCAGTCTCTTTAGACAATGTACAAACGAATTTATTTGTGTGAGAATCGTTATTGCTAGCAAATACACGAGATAGCATGAGATAGCGAAGGAGACTGTACAAAAGTCATTTACTTGGGCACCTCTGTCCCGTTCGTGTTTTTACCGTGGAGCTGTTGTGATTGCATGCCTGTGTTTCGGATATGGCAGTGAATTTACAGGGTACAGAGGAATAATACCTGAGTCCTCAGAAATGGCAACGCTTAGGGGTATCATAGGCGAAACAATATGCTCTGTTATATTCATGGTACCGTTCATGTTTATAGACGACGGTTACCACTTTCCATCAGGTGGGCCGACAGCTTGTTTGCCATTCTAAGTTGCATAAAAAAATTTGTTATTTTTCACGTGAGCACTTACCGTAACGATTCTATTGATAGATAGATTTGTACCTTGTTTAGAAGAGTATATCTTCTCATCACATTATGTGAAGTCATTCTGAAGAAAGATTCTGTAATGTCTTATCGAAATAGAATAAATCGTATTTTACGTGGACTTACAAGTGAATTTTGCTTGTACATACAAGCAGATGATATTGAATATCCTATTATCGATACTTAATGTTTAAGACTTAGTCATATCGATAACTTACAAAGGTCACTTACGCCTTGTTAACAATGTATGTTGTAGGCTTAATGTATCGGAATTTCATACAACATTAATAGATTTAATCAATCCAATACAGAGTAAACTAAATTAATTATAGGTATTTTTGGCTTAACAGATTATTATCTAGTGTTATACGAGTATGTAAATGTACAAAATTTCGCAAGTTTCGCACTAACTTTAATATATCCGTAGATAGTTATTAGTCTTCTTAATTTATAAAAATCTCTTATCTCTATGTTCGTACACGCTAATCTCTCAAACCGCGCCGATTTTAATGATATTTGTAAATGTGTATGGTGTTGCTCCAACATAAAAAAATAGGACAGATATCTTAACAAGAAAAAATACCCCAGCAGGCTATAATAGGGGACAAAACAACAATTACTGTATCCGTATATCGTACCAGTAATATATTTTATAGATGTGGAAGTGGCTTTGTATGTTCGTTATCTTTTGGCGTCTTAACCATTCAACCAATGTACATGAGGTATACAATAGTCATTGGGATAGATATGGTCATAAGTCGTTTCTTAATTCTGTCGATCAATTTAACCGTGCTTACCTCGACGACGTCGCTTTTTTTTTACAACACAGGGGGCAAACGAGCATGTGGCTCACCTGATGGTAAGTGACTACCGCCGCCCATGATCACCCACAACACCAGCGACATTGCAGGTGTACTGCCGGCTTTTTAAAAAGGAATATACTCTTTTCTTGAAGGTTATATTGTCGTATCGGTTCGGAAATACTGCTGCTGGAAGTTGATTCCAAAGAATGGTTGTGCGTGGAAAAAAGGGCCTTGAAAAACGCACGGTGGAAAACCGCCACTCGTCTAGATGATTGGGATGAAACTTTAGTTTGTGGATGTAGAAAGCAGTAAATTATATAATATTTAAATAAGCAAATACAAAATGTAAATATCTGAATACTCTACCCTGATGATCTGGTTTCTATCCGATCCTGGATATCTCAAATGAAATCTAATCCCATTCAAATTGAGAATAAACTCAATGTTTTAGATGTAATATTTTTCAGACTAGATACTCCCTTCGACACTAGCTTCGAACCATTTTGATTGTACTTTTAAAAATATTAAAACCTACTTTCTATTTGAACGCTACGATGCACATTGTAGTTGAAGAAGGCATCTGGTCAAATATTATGTCAGAGCATTGAGTTGATACTCGAATACTTTGAAAGCTTTAAACGTATCAGAAATGTTAAAATAAGTCCAATACTTTTTTGTTACGAATATTCTGTTTTAACCAAAAGACAGTAATTTAATCGAGATAAATATTTGAATTAAAATCACAGAATTGTACGACTGTTTACAAAAAAACCAGCAGCTCAGTCATCACAAATTAATATAAAATAAATTTACCATATATATATAATAACAATGCAATGTCATTATATTATGTAAATATTCTCTATACAAATGCTTTGCCAAAAAAAGGACATATACGTATATTGGGTTACTAGTATATAAAGTTAATACTAGATATATGGGTGAAATTTATGTTATAAGTTAAAAATGAAAAATAAAAACGACAGAAAATTTTTACAAGTATATTAATTTTAAGCAACACTTACGTATATGTGTATATATGACTAAGTTCAAATTTTAAAAATCGAACTGATCTAGGTAATTTTGTATCCAACAACTATAGATAAAAAAAAACAATACATTTAAAAAAAAAAGGTAAGCCAAACATTAAATTAGCTAAGTTTTTACTCGTTTTTGGTAATTGATACTTTATCTGTATATTTTAAGAATAAATTTCTTAGACCTTCATTATATCTATTGCACTTACTACTTTAATAATTTTTCTGCATATAGGCCGATCCCAAATATTCTTGATTTTTCTTTGAGACAGCGTATGATCTGTCCAATCATAACAGATATAATACTTAATTTCTTAATAGGAAATATCAAAATTGGATATAAGTAATACAATTATATCCTAATTTCGTCGCTAATATGGAATGAGACAATGTACAGTGTAAGGAGACACGTCTAACTAATCCATTAGTACCCCGAACTAAAGGCATTAGCGGAATTACAAGTAATACCGTTAAAAGCTCATCTATCTATGAGATCGGCCCTAAGTATTCCCATTGAGTTTTGCGTATTGAACTGAATGTCAAGCGTTAATAGGGGTCTTAGTTAGACAGATTGCGTGATGTGATCGCGATTTGCTGTTTTATTGTTGGTTTCGTCTTAATTTTTATCTCATCCAGACAAATATAAGACTTGCCTGACATTAAACGGTATATTCAGAGATATCATGTCTGCTAGTGGAAACCTCTGGTGACCAGAAGACTGGCCTATACTTTGGTCAACGTATCTTTATAGCCATTGAGCGTGAAAATGTAGCAAGACTCCTAGGTACGCTACCAGTTGGCAGTGATCTCAAAGAAATTTTTTATCTTTAAGTAATTATTTAAGGTCTTGTTTCTGATATTTATAGTTACATATATGTAAGGTGTGTATATTACAGATAGATTATATTTTTACATATTTGTATACAATATGCATAATAGTAATATGAATAGTTTAGAGTTAGTGACTCTTAATAATTTCCTTTTATTTAACGGTTATTGTTATATTATAGAAATCTGCAAAACAGGAGATACTGTTTACTTATTTATTCTTTATTGCACAAAAAGGCTTTGTACAAGTGGCGAGCTTAATGCCATACGGCGTTCTCTACCAGTTTTCGCTTACGTTTTTTGTTTTTACCTCTAAGTAAAAACAGAATGCGTAAGAAAGATATAATGAACTATAAATCATTTCAATAAAACTTATAGAAAAAACAGTCAAGTTATTACAGAAAATACTCTCTAAAAAGTATTTTTGTAACAAATGGAAACATTCAATTAATTTTTTTTTTATTAGTGTAGTACAAATAGAAAATATAAATAAAGGACATCAGAAAACTTCTTAATAAAACAGTATGTATACACAATAATAGACACTGAAGAGACGTAGACTCTGATGATATGACTGGACCAGAAGCTAAAAATCGAGCTGT